GTATTTGGCTAGTGAGATTGGACGCCCGTGTACATTGTTGGGCACGTAAAAAAAATCCCTTGGCAGTTGGAAATCAAAAAGAGTAACAAAACGGCGTTGCCCGGGCAACATTTAGAGTAAAAAATCTACCCAAAGTATTTCAGGATCCTCGCCGGTGTTACAGAGCCTGTGCACTGTGCTGGCTTCTTTTGACTCAGAACCAACCCGAGCACTTTCTAGCTGTTGTGGTTTTTCTAGACAGATTCACGCCCAGTAATTTGCCATTGCTCCCTGGACGGTCGGCTCTCAGCACCACGGTCGAAACCATCGCAAGACAACCCGTCCGCAGAAGGAATCGAACCCGGCACCCCGACATTACGAAGAGCGTTCGCGACGCCTAAGCCACATACGCCGACTGTTTCTGGATACTTAGTTTTAAAAAAAAGTTGTTGCCCAGTGTGGTGGTTTTCTGTACTTGTCTTGCGTTTCTCATTGGCTTGGCTGGTGGATTTGTTTACCGTTTTTCAGGTTTTATATATACCATTTATCCACCTCTTTCTCGGTGTTCTCCTCGCGTTATTACCATGTGTTCTGTTGTTTAAAAAAAAAATCTCATACGTATTTTGGTCTGGATGCATTTTCACTAGATGGCCGGGACACTTGATTCTTTGTCTAGATATATCTTCTTCTTCTTCTTCGCGTTTCCAGCTGTAAACTCTGGCAAATAGTTTTGGTTGTTCATCCACTTCTGGACTGCAGTCCTGTTCCAGAACCTGAGTGTTGCGTGTGCATTCGTTTTACAGATCTGACTCATAGATCTGTGTGCAGACTGCTGGTTCCTTGCCTCTCAGGCCGATGCACTACACGTCGAAGGAAGCTCACAATTCGTTGACCATTACGACATGCTTGTGGGTAGGTAGTGGGTCTATTCTTGTTTTAACTATAATAGGGCCCCGGAACCCACACGGGGAGTCGAAATATCATTCAGGCACGATGTTATTCCAACTGTATCTTTAATGCTGGTATTTGTAACCATGTTACTTCTTATGCTGCAAGTGACCTTACGAAGACAGAGCATTTCACAAGTAGTTATTTTTGTTGTTCTAGTGCCCTACTCATTGTCCATGTTTTGCACTGAAATCATTAAGTAAAGTTGAAGATGCTATTAATCATTTCCTGTTTTGATAGAAGGGAGATATTTGGAGGTCTTAAGCAGTGGGGCTAACTGGTAGATGACATAATTTAACTTCCCTACTCTGGTTTCTATCTTTCTACCCAGTGTTTCATCTTCTGTACAAATGCTTCCTAGATATTTGAATTCTTCTATTTGTTTGATTCTAGTACCGTTAACATGAACGTTCATGTTGTTGTGTCTCTTGTCTCTTCTTAGCCGTGACGATTAGCATGTCGACTCTTCGTTGGCTACTGAAAAGGATACAGAGCATATTTGGGAATGTCCCTGAGTGCAGTGACGTCAATTCTCGATTCATATTAAGTCTGCCTATTCTCATTACTTTAGTTTTCGCTGTGTTTATTTTCATATGTTGAGCATGTTTGATGAAAAAAGTCTATATGGTGTTATAAATTATGTTCTTGGTGTGCTGTTAGACATTGACCGTCTGCAAAAAGTAGTTCATTGATTTTTGCAGTCTGTATTTGCTACCTGCGTTATTCTATTCCTATAAGTAATGAAAAGCAATGGTGAGATGACACATCCCGTGATTTCTTTCCACCCTTTAAATGAATACGCGAAACTGAATTTTTAAACGATGAATGATATGTTAATGTACAGCTGAACCTCATTACTTCTGGCCGACTCTATACACCTTTTCCTTCCCACAACTTTACCACTGGTATCCCCATTTTCATAGACGTAGGAAGAGGCGTGTGAGGGGTGCAGGTCGCACCAAGGGTTATCACTGAAGGGAGGAGAAGTGGTGACAAAATGGCAAAAATACTTGTTTTTAATATAAACAAGTGTGTGTGTGTGTGTGTGTGTGTGTGTGAAGGGGAGGTTGGGATGTGGGACGTGAAATCTTCCGCACCGGGTACCACCTGACCTTGCAAAGCCACTGCTAGAACTATGACTTATTCGGCTAACTCATCTTATACATGTTGCAACAGCTGTTATTTTATGATCACTGCTATTAAAACGTTATTAAAATGTTGGTTGTGTTTGTGTTAATCTGTGATAAGCACTGCAAGATGCAGACGATTGTCTGTTATAATTATGCAGAACTAGAACAACAAGCTGTCACATTATAATAGTACGTTAATTAAGGTGATAATGGTCATCATTTTCACTGCAGGGCTATATGTTATATAAGAAAACAATTATAGTCAAGACCACAGAAGAACAAATGAGTGGCAGAGGAAGAAGTCAATCATTTACGCATGACATCCTTTATACCGACAGGACAAGAACAGAGATGTTTCGGATCTACAGCAGGAATTAGATGGAGTATCAACCTGGTGCAAACCTCACGGGCAACAACTGATCCATCGAAATCAACAGTCACCTGGGTCTCGTTAAATAATCACCTTTCCAGAACCCAATGCTGATGTGGCGCTGACGTAGAGAGATCTTATTCCATGAAATACCTGAGCATAACATTTGACAGATGTTTATGCTTGAGTATGTACATGTGGATGCGTGTGTATGCATGAATGTATGCATGTGTAGTGAATGTATGAATGTGTGTGTGTATGTGTGTGTGTTTATGAGAGTGAATGAATGTGTATACATTTAAAAAAAAAATAACAAGCACACACACATTATAACCAAAGCCAAGAAATGTCTCTCCACAATACAAATTATGGGAGCTGCAAGCTTTGAACAAGGGTTACTTGTAATGTTGTATCATGCGTTAGTTCTGTCCACCATTGAATATGCATTGGCCATCATGGCGCTCAGCATCACATAGATGAACAGATTAGGGGGGAAAACTTGAACACTAGGCAATGCGTATTATTCTTGGAAGCACTAGCGATACCTCCTGTAAATTGTTGCGATACCTCTTGGATTTCCCCACAATGGAAAACAGAATCAAGCTGTCTAGAGCCGTTGATTTCCTCAAAGTGAAGAAGTCAGACCCTCGTCGCCCACTTCATGAGGAATTATTCAAGCAAAAAAAAAAAAAAAAGACTAGACTTAAACGAGGCAAATCCTGGATGGGCCGGGCTGAGGATGCCATTGGACATTAATTATGGAATTTTTGGGATACCCATGCTTCCTGTTCAAAACATTACCTTTCCTCTTCTTCTTCTCTTCCACCTTGTACCTCATCGAAGTGTCGGGGGTGGGGGGGGGGGGGGGTGGGGGGGGGGGGGGGGGGGGGGAGAGAATTAATGTTCGTTGATGAGCTCTGTCAAGAGCACTATTAAGACTGATGTTCATATCTGTAAGGCTGTTCCTAATGCCATCACTCCATATTTTCCGAGGTCTTCCACTCGCTCTATACCAGTTGTAACGTTTTTTTTTGGCTCGCTGTGGCGGATAGTACCAGGGCATTCTTGTTAGGTGTCCAAACCACTTTATTTGTTGTTCTTTGATGACCTGTAAGACTGGCTTTATTCCTAGCATTCGTCTGATTTCATAATTTCGTATTATGTCTTTCCTTGAAACTCCTGCAGATCTTCTTAGGCATTTCATCTCTGTTGTCACAATTTTACGTTCATTGGAGGATGTATGTGTCCACGTTTGGCATTGATTGCTGATTCCCTATTTTCCCATAAATTCCCACAACATATTCCTGTCGACTCTATCAAAGGTTTTTTTTTGGTCTATGAATGTCAACAAACATGTCTTATCATGTTCTATTGCCCTCTCTGATAGTTGTCAAACATTACCATTACAGTCCACAATACAATCGATGACATCTGTAGAAAGCAGATTTCTGGCATTGTTGACACTTTAGTCAGAAAACTGATTGACATAAACACAGATGAAGGTGGTGCTATAGTTTACACAAACCTATCAGTAGTAATTCGGGGCAAGCGACGTTTATGCGCATTCACATTAAGCTCAGTGGGGATGGGAAAAAGGAGGGGGGGGGGGGGGTCAAGTAGATAAATGGCGCCTTTGGTGTCACAGCTAGTAGCCTCACAATGGAAACTATGGCTCTAAGATTTGAATTAGCATGGCTAAGAGTTCACACACGTGTGCGTACTTAGTGACTCAATCAATATGCTTAAAAAATAGAGGTTGCTTTTATCAGATAAGAATGGATTGCAACACTAAGAACTTCGCAAATCGCTACCCTAACCTTCATCTCTGTGCCAGATGATAAGGGTGTTCAAGGGAACGAGAGTGCAGATTATCTTGCAGCCACTGTGGTTGCTATGGCTGGTCCAGTCCTAGAAAGAAGCGATGTTATCAAAGCTATTCGCAGCTTTTAAGGTGACCACTAGCACGCCAAAGGACATGACTCCGTATCCCTGTCTAGGATGATGATCATGGAAATGCAGCCTGGAGCTGAAAGAAATAAACATTTTACAAAGGGACTAGACCTTTCATTAATTAACAAAGGACAGACGTTCTCAGTCGTTTGACACTTGAGGAGCTTTTGAGGAGATCCCAGCTCCTATAGATCAGTCCGGAGTGCTATGATGATAATCCCTACTAATCACTAATTACACTAATAGGCTGTACAGGTTATCTTAGGAAATATACGTAGGCTGCACCTTACGATTGTATAGTTTATAGTTTATAAAGAAGAAAATATACACATAACTGGATAACAATATTTAGAATTTCCTAATCGGTAAATAATTCACAATATAGATTATGAGACGGAATATGCGGAAACAAATAGGGATACAAGTTTCATTGCAAAGAAAAAAAAAAACAACCAAAGAATTATATTATGACTAGCTTATTCTCTCATTCTTGAGGTATATACAACTAAAAACTTATCAGAAATGAGAGTAAACTTTAATTATTTCCGTGTATAAACAGATCATGGCAGATATACAATGTATTCGTAGAAGTTCTGGCCAGCATATCTCAACCGACAACGTTGTCATTGATGGACATCGGGAAACGTGAAACACACTTCGTTGGAACTTGCTCCCTGCAGTTTCCACATGACAACCAATTCAATCTGAAACATGAGCATTTTTTATGTTTAGCAAGGCTTATCGGGGAGTTTGCAAATGATTGACCAAGTAGAATGACACAGATCGTGAAGGTATAGACACAATAGAAATTGTGTGTTTATGTCCTGGAAGTGGAAAAAAAAAGAATCACAAAACAAGTACTAAAATGGAAGCAAAATGATTTAAAGAAAGGGGATATCCACTACTACATACGTCGTTAGAGAAGACAAAGAAACGGAGCTAGATTCAATACTGGATATCGGAACTACTACATATGTTAGAAAGGGGTGGGGTGTTAGACTACAAGGCCTATGTAACCTATAACCGTTTATCATGGCAGTTAGTAAACTAACTAATTATCGTGACTTTACCAATAGATAGAGGATATACACGAAAAACAAACATACGGACAGACGGACAGGTAGCGAATAGACGTGTAGGTAAAAATAGACAGAAGGAAGGAACCAACGAACAAACTTTATTTTCAAATGGTTACAAACTTGGCACGCAGGCCTGTCTTACATTCGGCCCTTCCAATCACTCATCTTTCAGAGCATGTTATCACTAATGCATGTAATGTCTACGTCAAAAAATACATAATGAAATGGTGCAAACACTCCTCATATATACACGATCATAAACACTCAAAAATACACACATACACAAACTCTTATATGCTCACACACTAACGGATACAAATCCGCTCATATAATACATACATACATACATAAATACATACATACACACACACACACACACACACACACATACATACATACATACATACATACATACATACATACATACATACATACATACATACATACATACATACATACATCCATCCATCCATCCATCCATCCATCCATCCATCCATCCATCCATCCATCCATCCATCCATCCATCCATCCATCCAATCCATCCCATCCATCCATCCATCCCACCCACCCACCCCCACCCACCCACCCACCCCCCACCCACCCACACACACACACACACACACACACACACACACACACACATTACACACACACATACACACATACATACATACACATATTACATACATACATACATACATACATACATACATACATACATACATACATACATACATACATACATACATACATACATACATACATACATACATACATACATACATACATACATACATACATACATACATACATACATACATACATACATACATACATACATACATACATAACATACATACATACATACATACATACATACATACATACAGACATACATACATACATACATACATACATACATACATACATACATTACATACATACATACATACATACATACATAACATACATACATACATACATACATACATACATACATACATACATACATACATACATACATACATACATACATACATACATACATACATACATACATACATACATACATACATACATACATACATACATACATACATACATACATACATACATACATACATACATACATACATACATACATACATACATACATACATACATACATACATACATACATACATACATACATACATACATACATACATACATACATACATACATACATACATACATACACCTACATGCACCTACACTCATACATACACATACGTGCACTCACACTCCTGTATACACATTCATACATTCACAGAAACACACATACACACACCCACACATTGCAAACATACTCATCTATATGTACATACATACTCAAGCATACCCTTATGAATATTTACACGTTCATACACATACATACACTTGCACGCATTCATTTAAACACATGTACAACTATACGTACAAACACTGTTACAAACTACGGTGAAAGCATGGATTTTGTTCATGTGGACTTCTAGTAATTTCCCTTGGTCTCTGGGTAGTAAGATCGGACGCCCGTGTGCATTGTTGCGCTCGTAAAAAATACCTTGGCAGTTGGAAATCGAAACAGAGTAGCCTAATGGCGCTGCCCGAGCAAAATGTGGGGTTGAAAATCTACCCAAATTATTTCAGGATCCTCGCCGGTGCTACGGAATTCGTGCACTGCGCTGAGATTCTTCAGACTCAAGCTTGAGTTAGAAGTAGAACGGAGCACTTATGGGTTATATCCGTGTGTCATTATGTTGATCCTTAGACCAAACCAGACTCTTACATATCCAGTTATGAACACACACACACACACACACACACACTTAACATACTTTTTGCTCTGGCATACCCGTATACACAATCATACATTCACATACTCAAACATACCCAAACATACACAAACACCTAACCATATACAAGCACCAATACATGCAAACAAACCCATTTATACATAATACCCATAACTACACAAATACCTCTACACACACAAAAACAGCTACCCCTACATACACAACACACA